TATGTACTGTTTGTTGACAGATATTGTAGATAATCATCAGTTAAATCATCCTGGTTTATATGAATCTGTCAATAAGTGTTGTATATATGTTGTCTGAACATTAAAGTGTCAAGGGCATTGTCAGTATTGGCAATGATCCTGTATGTGTCTGATTTTGGTTCAATGTTAAATCCAGTCTGAATTGTTATGATAACTTCAGTAATGTTGTTATGATGTTAGTTCTGAATTCAGTATAATATTGCTGTAATGTCCAGTTTGAATTCAAGTTTGCAAAAGTTGGTCAAATGCAATTGTGTTAGGAGGTTAATAGGATTGGTTTTAGCTGTAAATCAGGGAGATAACTAAGTTTGTACAGATTTTAGAATCTGTTTTGCTATAGGTTCTGATTTTTCAGTAATAACATCAAGATTTCAGGGGCACTTCTGGGAATGAAACAGTAAAAAACAGGGTGTTAGTGCTAGTATATTATAATGTAATGTTAGTGGCTATTAGTTAATGATACTAATGGGGAACAAGGGATAATGGGCTGCTGAAAATCAGGGAAAAGGTTTTACATAATGGGATTTTCTGTTTTTAAAAAAGAAGAAGGGGGTCCAAGAAGCACTAAATTGCCTAGGACCAGCCCTGTATAAATACAGGAGCTGGACAGACAGTTAAAGAGGACAGAATTTAGGAGAGTCTTTGAGGAATTTTCAGAAAAACTGGAAGAAAGTTTAAGAGTTCCTTTTGAAGAAATTTTAGGAAAATTGAGAGGGAGTTTCAGACTTTAGGAGAGTTTGAAAGGGTTTTCAGAGAGAATTTTTAAGAAAGAATTTTTAAGAGATTTTGAGGGCTTAGATTTTAAAGGAAGGAAACAGAAAATAGAACACTCACATACACACTCACACACAGATACAGCAGCAGAAACAGAAAATCAGAAACAAACTGAATTTGAAACCGAAGAAAAGCTGAAATCTGAAATGTTGTTCTTGTGTTGAATCTGTTCAACTTTGTGTGATTCCACTGTTCAGTTAAAATTTGAAGTGTCTTTTAAAATACTATACTGTGCATCTATTTTCTTCGGGTCTTATTATTGTTCAAATCTGTGGGAATACTGATATTTGGCTGAGTGTGTTACTGTTGCTACTGCTGAAATTTACTCCTCCTACCTTCATTTTCAGGTATATGTCTTTTAAATTTTAAGTTGGAAAGAGATTCAACATGACTCATCAATGAAGCTTGAACTAAAAGTCTATTTTCTATTTGTCCAAGTTCATCAATTTAAATTTCATTTTTGTTTCATGTTAGTTAATTGGTAGCGAATTCAATTTGATAAATATGAGCTAATTGTTTTACTTTGAAAGTTCGTATAAAGGTTTGTAATAATATTAGTTCATTATCTCATTAGTTTAATAAATTGTCCAAGTAGGGAATATGGCATGAATGTTGGTCATTATTTAATTTTGTTGTTAGCTAAGTAAGAAGTGATGTAGAAGTACCAAGAAAACTACAATATTTATTGTTAAATAAGGTTAAGATGGTGTTGATGGTATATTTTCATAATATAATAGATGTGGGTATAAACGTTGGCGAAAGGTAATATGATATAGTTTGTTACAATGTTAAAACGTTATGAATGTTTATGATATACAGTTAGGTTGCATGTAAGGTAATTCCGCTGAATTAACTTGTATAATAATTCCCTTTCTATAAATTCGACGCTTATCTATCTTCATAAAACAAAGTGACCAAATAATTAGGCCTATTAGATTAAAAGCGAGTATATGAGAATGAAAAGGGAAGTACAAGCATAAATTGTCACACTTTACATCAATGATAATTAGAAATAGAATTTGCATTAGGTAAATCATGAAAATTCCCGGAAAATATTTCCTTCCTTTATGAATCATTTATTTTCGGTTTCATATGCAATTTATTCTTTGGCATATATATATATATGTCTTGTTTTAAAGTTAGTATTGATCATATTTTTATTCTGTCCTTTGAATTTGAATAATTGGAATGAATATGATTTATATTCGGAAATTATAATCAATGGTCAATATTTAATAAATTGTGGATTATTTTCCAAAAAATTAAAGAATATCTTAAAACGAGATTTCTCGTGATGTAACAAACATTTTGGAAATCCCATAATATCATTACAAATATGGCGCAATTAGGGATACGTTCGCGTACTAAGGAGCATCAACTAGAATATCTTAGAATTCGGTGTCACAAGTGCATGAGCATTTACTAAGGAGTACAATAATAATACAACATCTGTCTGGAATGTAAATAAGACAGGATAAAGTAAGTAATACAATGGAGACTTTGTGGGCTGCGATACGTAGCCTGGAATTTGTATCTCACCATAAAATCCCCTCAGCAGCTGCGCCTATGTGCCAAGATGACCACAAATAAACCTGTCAGACACTGCACATTCAGTGCAGAAGTGCAGCATGAGTACGTAAATCAATGCGTACCCAGTAAGTATCTAGACTAACCTTAGAGAAGTAGTGACGAGGGGTCGACATCGACACTTACTAGAGGTCCAATAAAGGAAAATAATAAATCATGACCAGACATGAAACACACAACAATAATAGAGTAAATCTGTAAGTTAAATAATTTTCCAAAAATTTCTTTTAAAGGTATGGATTTCTTAGTCTTGTATTCTACCTCAATAGCTCGGATGTATCAGGTACCAGTATAAAACAGATAAGAAATACCATATAAAATGCAAGGCATCAGCGGAAGGATAATCTCGTGAATATTTGGACTGCCAGCAAAATAACGTACGATTATGCTAAGGTCGTTCGGCCCGATCCAGAATAATATGTACACTACTAAGGGTCGAGCGCCACGAACCATAGATGCATCTATTATACTGCCAAGGTGCTTGGCTAGCTCCACAAGAAAGAAAAGAAATTACCGAATTATGAAACACATGTTTACAATATAGTACATGAGCACAAAGTGAATATAACCTTTACCGTTTCTCAAATAACTTGCCAACAACTCAAGGTGATAAGGCTCGGCCTAATATATACATATATTTCTAAATCAATTTCAATTATAAATTCAATTAATTAAGCCAGCAGAATGAGTTCAAATACTTTTAGGGCTCGGATACCATGTGAAATAATAAGATAACAAAAAATAATTTTGAAGCTAATCACTCTCTCATGTTTCTCATTGATATATGTTTGAAGTATATATAGGTTATAAAGTAAGGGAGATAGCTACAAGGGATAACAACTGAGATGATAGGGGATAATTACAAGTGCAAGAGATTACTACAAGAAATATAAACAAGCAGTAGATAATGAAATAGATATACTCTAATAGTATTGGCTTGTTATTTCACATTACGTGTTCATTTTTTAGTTAGAATTGATATATCAGTTTTGTCAATATTTGAATAATGTTATGACAGTATATTTATAAATATTATTTTATATTATCAAACTTGCACTTCATGATATTCTTAAAAAACGTATATTTTTAATTTTTATAATTAATTAAACTAAATATTATTAATTTGAAAAATATATCAATTATTTTTACTATATTAGTTATAAATATATGATTACTAATTAATATATATTAAATAAAAAATATACATCTTAAATACCAAATCTAATATCAGTTATACTTATAAAAAATTATTCATAGGTATATATTTATTATATTAATATTTAAATTTTAATAATT